TCTTATTTCTGATAGTGCTTTTTGTCTTAAAGTTTATTTTATATTAATTCACCTACAGATGCTTTCTTTTGGTTGGTATTTATCTGGAATATATTTTTTCCATCTTTGACTTTAAGTTTCTCTTTGTTTTCATTCTTTAAGCATATCTCTTGTAAATACATATAGCTACGTTAAAAAAAAAATCTATCCTGATAGTTTTTGTCTTTCACTGGAGAGCTAAACCCTTTTACATTTAGTATGATTGAAAATAGATTTAAGTGAGTTTCTTCTTTTTATGTCCTTTCTACTTGTCCTACTTAAAAAAATTTCTTTTTGAAACCATCTTTTCTCATTTTATTTTGCTGTATTTTCTTCCCTCTTTCTCATTTCATCTTCACCCTTTCTATCTGTCTGGGGTCTTTTAGTTCTTAGTCTAGCAATTTGAACATAGCGTATGCACCTAAGTCTAGAAAATTACTAATATCTGTCTTTTTTTAAAAAAGATTTTATGTATTTATTTTTAGAGAGGGAAAAGAAGAGAGGGAGAGAAATAAGCAATGTGCGGTTGCCTCTCGCGTCCCCCCCTATCAGGGACCTGGCCTGCAACCCAGGCATGTGCCCTGACTGGGAATCCAACCAATGACCCTTTGGTTCTCAGGCCAGCATTCAATCCATTGAGTCACACAAGCCAGGGCTAATATCTGTCTTTTTTCCCAACAATTCCAGGATCTTAAAACATTAACTCTGATCACCATTGACAAATAATATGCTATTTTTGTCCAGGATTTAAAATTTTGGTGTTAGGTGATTGAGAAGAAAATATTTCCTGAGAATTCATAATGATAAGTAAGCCCTGGCATAAGTTTGTGTCTTAAATTTGTACTAACTATACAGTCCCCTCCCCACTCCAAAAAAACCCTCAAGCAAATAATTTAATTTAGACTGGTCTCAGGTTGGTAGCCTCTCCCCTCCCTACACCCGACAACTCACAAAAGTAAATGCAAATCCTCTCAGAAAAACTTCAACCCAGGCCTCAAGGATTTCTACCATAAAGGTCCAAAGAAAATGAATGCTCACAGATAAATGGCACAAAAAACCAACGCACCTCGAGTGAGAACCAGCAGAAACAATGTGCAACAGAGACATTCAAAGTCTTCAGATACTGCAATTATCTGACATAGAATATAAAATAATTATATTTTATAAATTTAAGGAAACCAACAAGGAGTTCTGAAATAGATAAGAAATTTGAGTCACTTGGCTTGGAAAAGAATCAACTATAAATGGTAAAAGTGAACACCATATTGTGTTGACTATAAAACACAGTGACTGTAAGATGCACCACAGTTCTATGCGCCATCAGAAATACTGCCAATTATCATTACAAGATGCCACAGATGATAAGATGCCTCCTGATTTCAGAGGTATTAAAACATGAGAAAAAAATTGTTTCAGAATTAATGAACTGTAGAAATTAACATTTAAAATTTAGCACATTGATTAAATTACAGATTAAATTGTGCTGATGGGAGAATCAGTTAACTGGAATAAAGAAACAAATATTTAATACAAATAAATTATCCAGAATGTAGCTGTGAGAGACAATGAAATGGAAATATAACAGAATGATTAAGAGATTTGGGGGACTGAATGAGAAGATCTAACATATCTATCTAATCAAAGGTTCCAGAAGGTAATAGAGATAATGATAAAGAGGCAAAGTTTAAAAATATAATGACTGAGAAATTTGTGAAAATAGTGAAAAGAGAGCTATCCCCAGATACAGGAATCCAAATAAGTCTCAAGCAGAATAAACTCAAAGAAATCTATACCTAGACACGTGATATCTGAAGGATACATGAAGATAAAACTTCACAACATCAAAGACAAAGAGATGTTCAAAGTAACCAGAGATAAGAAAAGATAACCTACTAAAGAGCAGTAAATGGTCCAATGATTAGCTTTTAACAGCCAAAAAAAAGGAAGTCTGAAGACAGTGGGATGTTTTCAACATGCTGAGAGAAAAATAATAGTCAACTTAGAATTGAAACCCAGAAAAATAAAGAACTTTCAGACAAATAAAAAGAGAGTACTTCACTCAAGTAATGTTATAAAAGGTGTACTTCAAGCAGAAGGCAAATGATCCTAGACACAAGGTATATTATTTTAGGAGGAAGATCAAAAACTCTAGGGTTGCCCTGGCCCAGTGGCTTGGTTGGTTGGAACGTTGTCCACTACACCAAAAAACTGCAGATTCGGTCCCCAGTCAGGGCCGAGACTTGGTTGCTTGCTCGATCCCTGGTCGAAGTATATACAGGAGGCAACAAATCGATGTTTCTCTCTCACATTGATGTTTCCCTCTCTCTCTCTCAAATCAATAAACATATCTTTAGGGAGGATAGAGGGGTTAAAAAAAAAAAGAATAAAAAAAAGAAACAACCAAACCTCTAGGGTTCAGTGAACTCTAGGGAGAATATTTGCTTACTTCTCTGGTGTCTGGTTTTTACTTCTTTTTGGAATGTGCAGAGTCTTACTTTCATGCAACTGATACCTTTAATAAGTTATTTAAACTATTTTATCTGGCATTTTAGTTGTTCCATTTGAGCAGGAGTGTTTAGGTATCTAATCCGCCCACCTGCAGGAGATAAAACCCTCCGAAAAAACTTCTCTAGGGGGAGAAACTCTCTCTGTTGCTTCAGTCTACATGGAATCCATGTCGCTGTCCTCACGGCACATTGGACCTTCTCCTTGTAGCACATACACCAGCTACATTTTTATATTTATTTGTATACTCTTTAAATTAGTTTTCTACTTAACCCATTAGAAGTCTAAAGACCATGTCTGTATCACTGTTTTATTCCCAGGTTTTAGCAAGTGCCTGGCACATAGTAGGTATTCAGTAGACATTTATTGACTAAATGATGAGGTGAGTAATTAACTTCAAGGGAGGCGCCAGTGTTAGGTATTAGATCAAACACCGTGTGCTTCTGCTTCAACGCCAGCCATTGGAGGCCGTGTTTCAGGGCTCGTGAAGTCTCACAGAACCATGGTGTGAATGCGGTGGCCATCTACCCACCTCTGGCTATTAAAATTAATTAAGATGAAATAAAATGAAAAATTCAATTCCTCAGTTGCAGTAGCCACATTTGAAGGGGCTAGTGGCTATCCTATTGGTCAGTGAAGACATAGAACATTTCCATTATCACAGAGAATTCTATTGGAAGTGCTGCCATAGAATTCTTGAGAATTCTTAATTGCTCCTCTCTCTTTTGCTTTGGCTCTTGGTCTCTCCCTCTCCCCACCCCCAGCCCAAGCACAGGGATCTTGTCTTATTGTTAGTGATTTAAAATGATGCTTTTGAACAAGAAGATGCTGGGTACTTTTGGTGATTAGCACCATCCCCACTTTTTTCTTTGAAATCTCTGAGCTATTGTTTACTAATACATTCTTTTATTCCTATTTCTACTAACGCTGAATGTTACTTAGGTGGAAAGCGTAATTGCTTTCTTTTTTAGGTCCTTAGACACTCCGCTAATGTTTCTGCCTGAGAGTTCCCAAAGCCAGGGTTCTACGAGAGTTTGGCCTGTCTGAACAGCTGACCCACGGAATAATGGAGTAGGTCCGGCGGGGTGCGGGAGCGCAGCACTCTGTCAATAAAAGAGCTCCCATCTCCGCACACATGGCCAGTTAATTGGCCATTCTGGGAAGGTACAGATGGGGGAGGGGGCCTTCTGAGAATCGCTGGTGACAGTTAAGTGGCCTTTTGTTGACATCCTCTGCTGAACAACTTTGTTGGATTTAGTCTCTGCCTCTCCTCTACCTCCTGTGGCTTTTCTGTTAGATTCATCATTTACCATTCAGGCATCATCTTTCAGTCTCCGCTTCCAATATGACTGCTTTGTGTGCTGGCCTCTGCTTTATTCCTACTCCTTCCAGACCATAAAGGGGGCTGTGCGGGGCTTTAGCAGGATGGAGAAATGCACTCTGCTGTCTGTTGAGAACTATAATAATGACCGCAGGGACCTTCCTGTCCAGCAGAAAACCCACTGCCTACGCTAGCATAATGGCGGCCACCTGAAGACAGAGAGAAGGGACTCTTCACTGAATTCCTTCTCACACAATACATTTCCTTTGTTCCCCTCTCCATTTTCTTCTCTCCCCCTTCTCGGTTGCAGTTGGAATACTGACCTTAGATGCAGCTAAGACTAAGAGTCAATGCTTTTGAAATAACAATACATTCCATTTCGAAGGCTTTGCCAAGCCAATTCACCCAAGTGGTCTCATCTAATACCTCCCTCCAAAACCTGGGAGGTAGGGAGGGGATGTGTTGTTATCAGCCCCATTTGACTGATGAGTAAACTGAGATTTAGAGAGGTTAGGTCAATTGCCCCAGATCTTTTAGACCGGGAGTGAGCACCCAGTTCTCGGTCTCTCGACCCGGCGTTCTTTCAATGGTGTCCACACCTTCATGTGTGGGAGGCTCTGGCCCAAGGAAAGTGTGAGTGGGTGGGGAGGCAGAAGGAGAGCAAAAAGGAAAGAGTTAATCGATTTCCTTGCGTCTCTAGTTACTCTCATCTTTCTCTTAAGGTTGCAAGTTTGATGTGCACAACGCGCCAGCCCAGGAAGCCTCCAGGGAAGAAAGAAGCCTAAGGGCCCACAGTGCAGTGTACAGAGGGTGTGTTGTAGAATCGTGCACCGGAAGCCTGCACAACTTTGTTAACCTGTGTCATCCAATAAATTCAATAAAAAAGAGGGGGTGGTGGGGGAGAAAGTTAAGGGCCTTGTCCTCCTCCTTCTCCCTTTCCTCTCCCCTTTCCAGGAGAGGATTTGCCTAGAAGGGGGAGGGGCAGCCCTGATTCTCCCAAGGCCGGCATGTCGGAGTCACAATCGGGGTCTCCCCAGAGAGAGTCTAACGCCCGTTCTCAGGCCGGGCTGCCGGCCTCTAGGTGCCGTGCTGTTCTGAGGCCTGGGCCATGCCTGTGCGCAAGGAGAGCCCCTGAAGCTCGCCTGGAGGACAAAGCATGCCCGGCACCCGTGGAGGGGGCGTGGGCCCCGGGCGCTCTGCCGTGGCCGGGCGGACGCTGCTGGCCTCCTGCTTTATCCTGGCATCCGCTTGGGGCCAAATGAATTTCACAGGGTGAGTGGCTGCTCCGGCGCAGAAGGGGGACTGTCAGGAGCTTGGGAACTGAGTGTCCCAGTGGGAAGGTAGCTGTCCTGCTGAGACCTGGTCAACCTGAACCCACTTCCATCTTGCAATCCCCCACTCTCGTGCTCACGGGCAGGACACATAATTGTGTCATGGCCCTTCCCCAAACCCAAATTTCTTAATCGGGGGTTCCTGAGTAAGCTTTCAGGGCTCTAAGGATGCTCTGAAATCATACATACATTTTTTTTTGTGTATGTACTTTTTGTCTGCGGGAAACGTTCATAGCTTTCCTTAGATTCTTAAAGAAGTTAGTAACCCCCAGAAGACTATACGTCCTGCCACAGATGGATGTAGTATTATACTCCTTTAAATAACAAGCACCAGTATGATACACCAGGCCAGCTAAGGACATGTTTTCTCAGCCTCCCAAAGATCCGGCAGGAGAAAAGAGGACACAAGCTTAGAGAGCAGGTTCTTCAGCATTCATCGTCTTGTAGCTAGTCAGGGACAGAGCCAATGCCGTCCCGGGCATCCGACCCCAGGGGGGCGGGAAGGAGCTCAGCTTCCCTGGAAGGCAGAGTGAGGCTCATCTCCTCTTCCATGTCCTCAAAGTCTTGGGAGAGAGCAGGTGAGGGCGTGAGGTTTGGACAGAGCATGGCCTTGGAATTATTGTATGAAGAGCACTTGGGGCCACTGTTTGTCCCTGGAACCCCAGTATCTATTCCTTCCCCCTCTTTATTCCTCTTGTTCTCTCACCCTCCTCCAGCCCCACCTTCCTTCCTCGTCTTTCTTTCCCTGTCTTGTCCTTAGGTTCATTAGTAGCACTGGCAGGTTTTATTTAGTCCACTGGGTGGTCTGTTCTTGGTGCTGGAGAGATTTCTGGCCCTGGGATGAAGGACTTGTATGATTCTCAGAGTCACGAGTCCTTCTGCTCAGGGGTCCTTCAGCCTCGCCATGACCGGGTGCCCCTCAGCCTTCCCTCAGCCTGATCTCCTGTCCCCACCGCCTCCTCCAAGCGGCGCAGCCTCCCAGGAAGCCCCCTCACAGCTCCCTCTGCCCCACCCCGTGTCTTTCCAGAGACCAGGTTCTTCGAATCCTGGCTAAAAATGAGGAGCAGCTTTCACTTCTCAGGGATCTGGAGAGCCTGAAGCCCCAGAAGGTGAGGACTCCTCAGGGCTTGGGGACACGTTCTCCCCTCCCTCACAGCGGCCTGCACTTTTGGCTCTCCACCGGCTTCCCCCACCCCAAACCTGCTCTCTGATGGCTCTGCCAAAGATCACAAAACTGTGGAAAAATCAACTGGGGCTCCTCTTCAGGAAAGGCTGGGAACATTTGCCCAGAAGGCTGGACGGCTCTTGCTGGCTTTCTCTTCTGGATGGAGGGGCAGGGTGGGGGCTCTCTGAAAACAGCTGAAATGTCCCGAAGCCCCATGGGGGGTGGGGGGGCATGTGTCTCTGGGTGGGACGCTGTGCAGCACGCAGACTGGACACATCTGTTTGCCAATTGAAAGAACTGCAAGGGCTTGGCTTGGCAAACCTGTGTTTTATTTGGGCTCATCCCTGTCAGCCTGAGCATTTGTTTCCAAGAACATTTGTCCTCTGCAAGTATTCCACAATGGAAAACATTTTCTTCAACTATTATAATAGAAAGGTTTTGTTTGAGGGCTATTGAAACAACCTGATATTTCTGGATGTGGCCCAAAGTCCTTGTTCCGATTTGTATGACTGCCCCTACCAACCAGGACTCATAAAACCTTATAATAATTCTCTCTATTTTGTCAATGGAAAAATGGATGTAGCATTCGAAGGACCCGGGAATCCAGGTTAGGCCTCTCCTACTTATTTAGGTTCAGGGACTATGATGTCTCTCTTTTCTGACCAGAGTTCTTGTCCATGTCCATGTCCCAGATGATGAGCTGTCTCCCTTCCAGCAACTGTTTTGAGCTCCTTGGATCGGGGCAAAGTTGCCCCGTGAACCTGGGTGACGAAGGTGCTTGAAATAAGGGGCGGAAACTCAGTGACTTGGGGATTCTTTTGCTTTGGCCCATCTTTCTGCTTGGCCTTAAGGTTTTCATTAGGGAACCGGGGCCCGTTTATCCGTGTAAGAGAAGACGATCTGTCTTTCTGGGGCGCCCACAGGATTGTGTACAAAGACATGCGATAAATAGATCTGTCATTCTTTCTTTTGTGAACAAGGTGGACTTCTGGCGTGGCCCAGCCAGGCCCAGCCTCCCTGTGGATATGAGAGTTCCTTTCTCTGAACTGAAAGACATCAAAACTTACCTGGACTCTCATGGCCTTGCTTACAGCATCATGATAAAGGACATCCAGGTAAGGTCCTGACTAAGCTACAAGACGAGGAATGCTGAAGAACCTGCTCTCTGAGCTTGTGTCCTCTTTTCTCCTGCCGGATCTTTGGGAGGCTGAGAAAACATGTCCTTAGCTGGCCTGGTGTATCATACTGGTGCTTGTTGTTATTTAAAGGAGTATAATACTACATCCATCTGTGGCAGGACGTATAGTCTTCTGGGGGTTACTAACTTCTTTAAGAATCTAAGGAAAGCTATGAACGTTTCCCGCAGAAAAAAAGTACATACACAAAAAAATGTATGTATGATTTCAGAAATTTTGGGTTTGGGGAAGGGCCATGCCCCAGTGCTGTCTTCCTGGTTTGGGCTCAACATGGAGGGAGACAGTCCTGGGCCGACAACAGAGAAGGGAGACAGGAGCCAATAGCTGGGGCTTTTTATGGCGCCATGGGGAGGCCTCTCTGGAGGGCTGCCTTGCTTTTCTGATCACTCCCTCCTGTCGCTGTTGTGTCTCAGCCATGCCTACATGGGAATTCCTTCATTCCAGAGAAGCCGAATGTGAGCCCTGCAGTGGCTTCCCTGCCCCCACCTCCAACACAGGGCTCTCCGTGCCAGGCCCCTCTCCGGGGCAGGGTGCTCCGGGAGCTGTTGCTCTGGGAGAAGGGGCCGCAGACCCACCCTCGGGCAGGCGGGAAAGAGACGTTATCTGGGACCTCCCCCCTGACCCCCGCCGTCTCCCCATGCTCCCGATTGCTGTGCCTTACAGCGTCTTTTCTGAACACTGTGGAATTTTATTTCAATTGTTTTGTCTTTAAGGATGTCCCCAGGAGCCTCCTTCCTCCAGTGATTTTTGGGGTGCCCCTCTGCAGATGCTGTACCTATAGCATTGAACCCACCGAGGTTCATTCCCAGCCACACTGTGTTGCCGCTAATCATCTCTCGGGCCGCGGTGTGGGAACACAGTCTCCCGGAGCGCACACACTTGACACCACATGCCAAGGGATAAACGCATTAGGCGGCATTCCGTTCCCAGGCAAGCACAGGGCTGGGGCACTTAGGTCCATTCAAAGACTTTTATCCTCATCAGGCACATCTGTTTCCCGCTCAACATGTGGGGGGTGGGCTATTTCTCTAATTAAATCCCCACAAACAAAAATGGGGAAACTCCCACAGACAAGAGAGGCCACCACATCAAAAGAAACAGCGCTCAATTCTCATTGAAGCCCGTGCCTGCATTTTGAAGTTTGCATTTTCCTGCTCCTGCTCTGTCCTGGAACTCCCCACCCCCTCCGCGCCACCCCGCCCCAGTGCCGCAGCATTTGGCAGGCAGATAGGAAGAGGTCTCTAAAAAGTTTCTGTTGATTTCTGCAGATCAGGAATGGCTCCAGAGGCACCTCTGAGCCTCCCCTGGCTCCTTTGGGACTGGCCATCCTCATTCTTGTCAGCCTGTCCTCCCCCATGGTCCCCAGGTCTGGGAGCCCTGGAGGTGGAGGGTTGGTGGGGGGAGACTTGTTCCTCTCTCTCAGTAAAATGCCCTGGACTCTCAGCCCTAACCCGGGCAGGCAGGATTTTCACCAACTTGCTCTGTCTGCAACACATCAAGCTCTGATTGTCAGATTTGAGATCAGGTTTTGGCTTAGAGGGAGCTGGGGGTGGGGGGAGGCCGCCGTGTTGCGTTGATTTGTGGTGATGACGGGGGAGGGTGTCCAGGAGGAGGAAAGCTCAGAGGCGCTAACAGGAGGGGAAAGGCTTTGCACCACTCAGGTTTTTGGCCTCCGGTCTGATGTCTTCGCTATTAACGCACAAGCCCGATTTCTCCCTGTCTCCTGGATCTTCTCAGCCCCAGTTTTTGGCATAGTGTTTCCCGCACAGTGGGCCCTCAACAACTGTTGGGTAAAATTACTCTGTTGGGCTGAATTCCTCAATTGGCAGGTTCAGGAAGAGCATGCCCGGGGAGACACCTCTCTCCCAGAGCCCCTCAAGGTCCAGGATCAGTCCCTGTATCCATCTTTATCCCCCAGAACCTACAACAGGACCTGCCACTTAGCTGAGTCTGAGAAGGAAAGGAAAGAGGGTTGCTCGCTGAGTAGTACTAGGCTGAGACAGGCATGAAAAGCCTTGGTGCCGGCTTTCACTCTGGCCAGGGGCACTGGGGAGTTTTGAGGAGGGAAGCGCAGCCCCACCATCACTGCCCGCCCCCCAGCATTCCTCATGATCAGAGGGATGCTTGAGATGGAAGAGGTGCATTCATTTGTCCCACCCACAGATACAGAGATGTCTACTGTGTGCTGGGCAAGGTGCTGGAAATCGGTCTTGTATCCAGGGGAGCTGAGTGTCGTGGGGGCGGGGAGCGAAGGGAGTGAATCAGTGATTACAATGGAGTGGATGAGTGCTCCAAGGGAGTGGAGCAGGTTGCTATGGGAGCGAGTACAAGAGGCCCACAAGTTGCTCTGAAAAGGCAGTAATTACGGTGTGGCTGAAGAGAAAGGGGTCTGGGAGGGGAAGGGGGCCCCCTGATTGGTGCTGTGGCCGATCCAGACCACAAAGGGCATCCTCTGCTGGGTGAAGAGGTCAAGATTTTATCCCCCAAACCATGGGGGAGCCAGCAGAGGTCCCTGACACGATCCGATTTGCATTTAAGAAATATCCGCCTGACAGTGACAATGTTGTGCTGGGGACAGGAGCAGGGAGAGGCTGACAGGCAGGAGGGTGGCGAGGAAATTGCAGTGGGCCAGGCAAGAAATTATCTGATTCCGAGTGAGCTCTATTTGCATTTAATTTTTCTTCACCTCCTCTTTCTTTTCAGCCCTTTGGTTCCCCGCCCCCCCCCCCCCCCCAGGATGAGTCACCACGGAAAAGCTTCACTTGAGCAATCAGCTCTGTGGATTTTAATGGCTTTTTTTTCTGATTACAAAATTAATAAATATTCATGTTAGGTAATTTGGAAAATAGGAGAAAAGCACAAAGGAGAAAACAAAATCACCCATGCTCTGAGCATCTAGAGCAAAATACAATTTAGTGTAAATATCGCTCAACCAATTTCCCCCTCTCTACTGAATCACTTCCATTAGCGTACAAATATAGAGTTATTCCTCCCACCTTAAAAAACATCCTCTCTTGATCCCGTGCCCTGCCCCCCTGCGGTAAGCACCCCATTTCTCTGCTTCCCTGTAGAGCAAACCTGGAAATCTGCACTCTCCTGGGTAATGCCGTCTTATTGGCTGCTCCTTCCCATGTTTTCCTGTTTCCCAGCTCTGTCTTTTGACCTCTCCTCTGTCCCCTCATCCAGGATCATGGCACTGAATACCTTCAACCTCCTGAATACGCCTAGGTTTATGGTTCCAACAGACTCATACATCTGACCTGAACTCCAGGCTCCTATACCGTTCCGCCTATGGGCATCTCAAACTTCTCATGTCCAACCAAGCTTCCCAGGCTCCCGAACATCTCCTCCACAGCCTTTCTCATCTCAGGAAATGGCAACACCAAACCAGAAACCTGGAGTCATTCTTGACTCCTTTCTCACGTCCCATATCCAATCCGTCAGCTCTCCCATCAAAATATATTTTACCACACCCTATGCTACCACCTGGGCCAGCACTCCTTCACCTGGATTTTTCCCGTTCTCTAACCGCCCTCTCTGGTTCCACCCTTGCCTCCTTATTGCCTAGTCTTAAAACAGCCGCCAGAGGGGTCCTGAGTGATCCGATCACTCCTCTGCTTAAAACCCTGCGAGCCTTCCCTGCTCAGAGTAAAGACCAAAGTCCTTAAAATGGCCGAAAGGCTGTTTTCCCCATGTTCACGCTGCTTCAGGCACCTGGACCTTCTTGTTGTCCCTCAAACTTGCCTGACCCATTGCTGCCTCAGGGCCCTTGACGAGGCTCGCGCCTCAGGGCCTGTGGCTGGAATGCTGTTTTGCAGCTGCATGCATGGCTAGTTCCCTCGCAGCTTTCACAACCTTATTCACATCACCTTTTCACCTTATTTTAAATGGCGCCCTTCTTCTTCACGCTGTCCCAGTTCCCCCCGCCTTCTTTCCTCTGCATCACTTCTCTCCTTGGCACTTACCTTCTAAGATTCTCTATCATTTACTTATTTTGTTTATTGTCTGTCTCCCCTACGAGACTGTGAGCTCCATGAAGGCAGACAGCTGTGTTTTGTGGGCTGCCATATCTTTAGCGCCCGGTGGGGGCTCAGCAAACACTTGCTTGGAAGAGGTTCAGAAGCGGAAATGCTGTTGGCTGGGGTCGGGGGCAGCTCTAGAGAGGAAAGGAGGACAGGCACGGGCAGGCAGGGATGAGAGCAGGAGGAGACCAGGGAAGGAGCAGGCAATCATGGGCAAAGCCCCGAGGGAGAGGGAAGGTTGGCTGTACTGAAGGGACAGGGACAGAAGCAAGACCGGCCCCTCTGCTGGTCCTCGGCAGGAGCAGGCGCTGACTCGCCCAAGTGACCATTCCTGAGGGCACTCTGCCATCCCAAGTGCTACACACAGCATTTCCCTCCAGAGGAATCCTGGTCACGCCTGGCAGTGACTGTTCCACCAGAGTCCTGGCGTCACCCCAAGAGTCACTATTGTTTTCGCGTCATTGCCACCGTCATCATCATCATCACAGCTAGTATTTACTACATGTTAGGCAATGTTCTAAGCATTTTACATGCATTAACCCTTCTAATTTTCATGAGAACATGTGCTAGAGTATGTGATAACATGACCCCCGTTTTCTGAAGACACAGAGAAATGAGTAATTTGCCCATCTTAGTGACAGTGTCAGGATTTCATCTGAGACAGCCTGGTTCCAGGCCTGGCGCCCTTTGCCTTTGTGCCATGTGCCTCCTCAGAGGCTGTCACTGTTGTCTGTGTGCTGTTTTCAGTTGGCCTTTCAGGCGGTGACTCAACAGTTCAGCCATGATCTCTTAGGGGGGTCTGTCGAACACCCCAAATCTGTGGCCCCCCTTCCATGTAAACATGGGCTGTAGCTGCCACCAGCCATGTAGCTGCTTTGCAAACATCAGGCCTGAAAGAGAAGGCGGGGGACGTATGAGGAGAGGTGACTGCTGTTGGTCCGGAGCTAGGGCCGGGGGTGGGATGGGAGGAGAGGGGGTGCGGACAGAGCCGGCTCCGGGCCCCCACCCGCTGTTTCTCTGAGCTGTGTCCATTTTATGTTCCCTGGTCGGAGTTCTTGCACCCAGGGCGAACTCCAGGTGTCACCTCCTTTTCTGGGGGCCCACAGCCTCCTTCCCTCCTCCTTCCTGGACGTGCTGTTCTTTGCTTAATGTCCCCATTCTTCCTCACTCCTGTCATAAATTAATTCACACCAAGGTATTACTTTCCCTGTCAGGCTATGGCTTCCAGGGAAGCAAATGGCTGACTCCTGAGGTTTTTTTCCTTCCTTCCCTTCTCTGAGGAGCCTGACAGGGCTGTAATTAGGCATTCCTGAGCCTGTGGCAAGACTGCATTCTTAGTACTCCCTTCCCCTTCCCCCGGCCCTGCGGCCCTGGGCCCCGCGAGGGAGCAAACATCTGTGTCTTTTCCAGGCCAGGGTGGATTAATGTTCCTGGAACTGGGGCCCAGCTGTGAGGCCGAGCATTCCCGATTTGGGAGCGGGTGTCACATCCATTCACAAGGCTGTGCGGGTGTTTGGAAAGATATTTGCAGTTTGGTGCCGACTTCCCATTTGCCTCCAAGCTGTTGTGTGGAACAAAGGGCAGCCTCCTGGACGCTGTCTTCCTGTGGGCGGCCGGCTGTGCAGGACGAGCAGGGCCCTCTGGTCTGTTCCCCGCAATTTCCCCTCCTCGTAGGGCACCTTCGCCCGCCGCCTCAGGCCCTCTGGCCGTGACCAGGGGGTTAGACCACGGAGCCTGTAACTCCCCTGCGGCGGGGCAGAGCCGGAGGATGGGCCCGAACCCCAGGTGCGCTGGGCCGCCGGCCGTCTCCCGCAGCTGCTTGCCACAGCTGGCAGTGCCCGGCTCGGTGACACATCGGTCATGGGGCGCCGCTGAGATTTCCGCTGATTTCCTGGGAAGAAGACGAATTCCTTCTGTCAGAGCTTCCCAGGCCGGTGCTGTGCCAGTGAGGACCGGGACTCCTCCTTTGCGCCAGCTTTGCCCGAGTGGGCCCGTCCTCAGCCCAGCCGGTTCCGCTAGGAAACACTGCCAGGACAAATGCCTAGCCTGTAGTCCATGCTCAAAAAAAAAAAAACAAAAAAAACCAAAAACAAACAAAAACCAAAAACACACCAAAACAAATGAGCCCCAAACATGGATTTCCAGTCCTACTGTAAAACCTGTGAACTTGAGCGAGATCGCAAGGAGCGGGCTGGGGCCGCCTGCCAGGTGCGGCAGGTGGGCGGGCGCGGGCGGGCGCGGGCGGCGCGCTTCCAGCCCGGGCCTGAAGCCTCCTCAGCGGCGGCTGCATTCTCGCCATTGGAGGTTTTGGTTTTTGTCTTAGTTTTGTTTCTTCATTTAGAAGGTTTTACTGAGTCGAGTAGTATAAGGACATTGCCAAAATGGAAAAGCAGAAAAAAGGAAAAGAACTGAGTCAGATCGTAATCCTTCTATCTTAACGGGCATTGTTAACATTTTGGGGGGTGTGTGTGTGTGTGTATATATATTTTTATATATATATATATATATTTGGCATTTTAGTATCTTGTTGTCCTTGGCTCAGAACATTGCTCTTTCATTATTTTAAAACACATTTTAATTGCAAGAATAATAGGATGGACTTTTCACCTGTTAACATTTTACAAATTTGCTTGCTTTCTCTCTCTGTGTGTATAGACACCCACAGCCACATAGATATATCTATATACATACGTATATATGTATATCTAGACATATATATGTATATCTATATTTATTTTTAGAGAGGGGAGGGGAAGGGGAAAGAGAGGAGAGAAACATGGATGTAAGTGAGAAACAGTGATCAATTGTTTCTCACATGTGCCCAGAAGGGGGACTGGACCCGCAACCCAGGCATGTGCCCTGATTGGGAGTCAAACTGGTAACCTTTTGCTTTGCAGGATGATGCTCAACCAACTCAGACATACTGTTAAGGGCTAAATATTCAATGTAATTCTTATTAGTTTTGAAAGCTAGCTAGCCTTAAGGAATTCAAGGCTGTGAGCTAGGATATGTGGTTTCTTATCTCAACTCTGCTCCTTGTTGATTTTGCCAGTAAGTCCCTTTAGCTCTTTAATCTGCTTTATCTCTAAAACATGAAGAGTTGATTCTTGCCCTGTTACCTGGTCATCTGACCAGATCAAATGATGCAGTGAGCTTAAAGATGCCTGGTAAACAAAAAGGCTCTGGCCAAAGCAAGGCCTTATCAAGGCTTACTTGTGAGCCGCAATCCAGGGTAATTTTGGGGTGAGGCCCTGTTTTCCCAGCACCCTTTGTGGCAGAGGGGTTCCAGCACGTCCCATGCTGCACGGTCAGTGCTGAGTGCCCGGCTGCCTGGGGCCCTGGATGTCAACTTAAGGGTATGTAAGCTTGGAGTGGAGGGCACCTGCCTATCTCACTGTCCCATGGTGGGAAAAAATGTCCCAGGACGATGTAGGAGGTCAACTACACTGCTCCCTCTCTGGTCAGCGGGAAGTGTCACATGAGGATTGAATGCCAACTCCAAACTGACACCCAAGGACGTTGCTTTTGGCCCGCCTATGCTTGTGCTTTAGAGGCAGTTAAGATGGTGAGTGAAAGCCTGTTGGCATTTTAATCACAATGATTTGGACTGGCTTTCCAAATGCCTTGGCACCAACTGTCTGGGCCACTTCCTGGGGGTAGGGTGGGTGTTGGGGATCGGGGAGCCCTGTGCTCCGCCAGAGGGTCAGTGTTCACGGCTCAGGTTGGGCCTTAGCAGAGTGTTCACAGAAGGTAAAAGCAATGTTGGCAGTAGACCATGACCATCTTTTCCAAAACACTTTCATGTCTATGATTACACTTTATCCTATAAGAGGGGCAAGACAGGTATTGCTGTCCCAATTTCCAAGCTCAGGGAAAAAAAGGTTAAGGTTGCACAGCAAGTTCGCAGTAGCGGCAGACGCGGAGCATGGCCCTCCAGCTCCTTGACCTGTGTTCACTTGGGAAATGGCACCGTGGACGCCGGCCTGTCAAGCAGGAGAATCACCAGGGACCCAGCATCTCCTTCTCTTTTGCAGCTCACACTCATGGTTGCTCATTCTCCTGTGTTGACGCTGTCTCTGTGCACAGCCAGCTGAGGTAGGGCTCAGAAGAGACGTGCCTGTCCCAGCCCACCCCTCTCCTTCTGACATGTGCTCCTGTCACCTAGGTGCTGCTGGATGAGGAGAGAGAAGCCATGGTGAGATCCCGCCGGCTGGAACGGAGCACGAGTAGCTTCAGTTACTCCTCTTACCACACCCTGGAGGAGGTAGGTCTGCTCGGTCCAGCTCTGGCCTCTGTTTTTCATCTGGGTCCTCAGGGTCTTCAGGCTCAAGAAGAGATGAGTGAAGGACTCCGCGGTCTGTGGGAGACCGTGATCTGACACTCAGAGAGTGTGCAGCAGAGGTTGGGTGAAGGTCTGTTAGATAGACAGTCAGCTTCGGGGATTTAGACAGAGGGAACCACAGTTCAAGAGTCAGCTTGTGGCAGTGTAATGAGTCTAGTAGGTAGAACACTAAGGCAGGACCTGCTGGAATAGAGCGGGAGGAGGCACCTTCCTTTCTAAGTCTCTGGCTAGGTATCAGGGGTCGGGGGGTCTTGACCTCTCCAAGGCCACTCATGGTGTTAAGTGGGCCCAGCTGTGGGTACTAGAGTGTAGAAAGGGCAGGAAGCCAGGCGCCTTGGAGAGCCATTTTGTAGAACAGACAGAGAGTTGCCTTCAGCTGGAGCAAGTTCATGATCACAAGTACAGCCAGTTAGGGCAGACATGACTGACTGTGACTTGTCTATAAAGGAGAATATGCAAAGGGAGCATAGAGACACCCAGTCCAGAAAGAAACTCCAGGCACAGCTCCCATTTCCAGGTGTCAGATGTGACATTATTGGTATTTTCCACTTTGTCATTATCATCTTCACTCTTTCCCCTTCACAAGGTCTGTAATAGAGGATCCGTGTTCTTTCACATATTTGTTAATTCAATAATATGTATTGAAAGAATAAGAAAATTAATTAATATAGCCTGTTAGTACTTATTGATGTCAGAGATAAATGACCCTGCTTTCAAGCAGCTTAGAATCCAAAAGGTGCCCTGGCTGGTGTGGCTCAGTGGATTGAGCGCCGGCCTGTGAACCAAAAGGTCGCTGGTTCGATTTCCAGTCTAGGGCATTTGCCTGGGTTACAGACCAGGTTGCCAGGTGGGGATGTGCAAGAGGCAGCTGACTGATGTCTCTCTCACACATTGATGTTTCTCTCCCTCTCTAAAAATAAATAAATAAAATAATTTTTTTTTTTTTTAAAAGAGTCTAAAAGGAGCAAGACCAAAAATGACACTGTAAGGTCTATGAAATCTGTCAAATGTATTGAATGGAAGCCAGAGACACTTCCATCCTGAGAGAGCCTTGCAAGCTGACCCAGGGCACTGAGTAGGCTCAGCCCATGCTGCTGTTCTAGGCAAAGACTTAGCTCTGCATGGTGGTGAGAAGCCTGGGAACCCAGGCCAACCACAGCTTGTTTCTTTAAGCCTGGAGGTTGTTGGTTTTTAGTTTTTGATCTGGGTTTCTTCAGATCCTCACGGAAGGTGGGAAATCATTAAGGAGGTGGGGATGGGAGAAGGAGGCTATTCAGAGAGGTCCTGGGTCTCACTCTCTCCTTGCTTAAATGCCCATCTGATACACTTCATTCCTTTCAGATATATAACTGGATTGACAGTTTTGTAACTGAGCATGCAGATATTGTCTCAAAAATTTGGATCGGCCAAAGCTTTGAAAATCGGTCGATTCTGGTCCTGAAGGTAAAAATCAGCAGCATGGACCACTGGCCTCTGTAGCGAGGGCCTCTGGCATAAGACGAGCTCATGTGGGGTCACGGCTTGGTGGGAACTTGAGGGAAAGAGAAGATGTGTATACTTCTGTCCTGAGGTGACCCATAAACCTTGGGATGGTGGTAATCAGGGACACACCCTTGTAAGCATGGACATGTGACAATATGGTGGCCTGGTATGTCCTGGGTCAAGAAGTAGGTGGGAGGGTTGCTACAGAGATGGAATGGGAGAGTGGCAGTTGTCACCCTGGACTTGGGGTATGAGTGTGGGTGACTCCGCCTTCTTCCTGTTTCTTCAGTTGCTTCATCTGTTAAATGGGCGCGAGCCCCGTTTACAAATGCCTGAGGTCATCTGGCTCAGGCAGCCCCACAGATAGACCCGAGTCTATGGGGGACTTCAGAGCCCTTCACAGGACCACTAGAGACAGAGTGTGAGCAAACTTGGCAGCAACAGTGCCCTTGGCCATGAAGGAGGCAGGATAGAGTAGAGTGTGGAGCCCATTGGCAAACAATTCTTAGTATGTGGCCCAAACGACGCTCAGCAGCGGGGACCACGCAGGGCATCCAGCTCTCACAGAAGGCAGGTGCGGCTGCTCTCCGCTGTGCCCTGGGGGACCTCCTGAGGGACCCGAGGGATCTCACCAAACTCGGGACCTGACCCCGCCTGCCCCTGCGGTGATTTCCCCCGGGGCCATCTGTGGTCTTTCTTTAATGTTGTCTAAGATCTTGCTACTCCAAGTGCGGTCCTTGTACCAGCTGCAGGAGCAGCATCCCCAGGAGCTCGTTAGAAAGGCCCAACCCCAGAGCCCTCCCCCGACCTACTGGATCAGGATCTGCATTTTAGTAAGATCTCTGGAGTCTTGTGCCCTTTATAGTTTGAGAAGCACCGGCAGTATCTAAGATACGTTCAGGCCCGGGAAATTGTGTCTGGCTGGATGACTTCACTTTCCAGGGCTCCAACATGTGTGCACTTCGTGGGCTCGTGCATAGGAACCTGTGCATACAGCCCCCGTCTTGGGCACCTAGGGCCGCCCCAGACAGTGAGGATACGTCCGGGGCCATGTCCGGGGCCCCCTCCAGGCAGCCAGGGGACAGCACTGCAGCTGTCCGGGTTCAAGCTTGTCTGGGGCCTGGTGCTTTTCCCCAGTTCAGCACTGGAGGCTCTCAGCGCCAGGCCATCTGGATCGACACCGGAATTCACTCCCGGGAGTGGATCACCCACGCCACAGGCATCTGGACTGCCAAGAAGGTCGGCACGGGTGACGGGGGCTGGGGCAGGGGAGGGGGCTGCTTGACTGTTTAAGGGCACTTCTAGCTGAAATACTCTACTTGGTTTTTTAAACTCAGGGTGCTTTCTGCCCTCCTGCCCTATGGAACAGTTGCCAGCTGCCTTTTGCCGCACAGAGCTCACATCGAGCCTCTGCCTCCTAATTGCTTAAAATTTAAGCTTTTGGTTTTGCACGAAGGATGTACCTCATGGCCTGATGTCCCCTCTGTCTGTAGCCACTGGCTGTGCAGATGTCCTGGTCAACCTTGGAGGAGGGCCCAGTTGGGCCTCCCATCCCTTGCCCTGTACCCACTCTGTCCTTTCTTGCAGATTGTCAGTGAATATGGCAAAGACCACATCCTGACAAACATACTGAATGCCATGGACATCTTCCTGGAAATCGTCTCCAACCCCGACGGCTTTGCTTTTACCCACAGCATGGTGAGGGCACCTGGGAGGGAGGGGTCAGGGGCCGGGGTCAGCCCTGGGAGGTGGCGTGGAGGAAAGGTCGCTTCAGCTTGGGAAGCTGGCCCCTTGGGTTCCTTGCAGAGTCTCACTGAGGCACTTGGGCTGCTCAGCCCTGAAGCTGTGGCTCTTGTCCTCTGACCTTCCTCTTGTCTCCCAAGAAAGGCCACTGCCTGCATCCTGTGCTCAGGCACTGGCCCACATCCTGGCTTCAACTAGAGTCCGCTCTGCAACCTTGATCCAGCCCCTCCCTTCCCTAGAGATTCCTTCCCTTTGCGCGTCCTTGTTCCACCAGAGCCCTTCCTAGACCAGGAAGTCAGGTGTTCCCAACCCTGGGAATGGGCTGTGTAATGACGTCCTCTGTCCTCGGGTTTCTCAGAACCGCTTGTGGAGAAAGAACAAGTCCAGCAGACCCGGCATCTCCTGCATCGGTGTGGATCTTAACAGGAACTGGCGGTCAGGCTTTGGAGGTATGGCAACGTGCCGGACCCGAGGGCAGGGCTGGGGAGGGACGTGGTCCTTGACACGTCTCCCGCAGTCTGATTATGTTGACTCATGACTTGGGAGGCAATGTAGTTAGCTCATGCAAGTCATGGCCAGGGACAGGCAAGCATGTGGCTAGGACTGGCTGTGGGATACGGGACAGGTTGCATGTGTCTGTGAAATGCATACATATGCTAAGCTTTTGTAAGAAAATGGGAACAGCGTCTTGCATGGGGACTCACCGCAAGGGTCAAGTTCGAAGTATGGCAGGGGAGGGCTTAAGAAGGTACAAGGTAATCTTGCTTATTGTTTAAAATCCAGTCTGTGATACCTCTCAGATGCCTCTCGCCCTTCCTGGCAGGGAGCAGACCATAGGAAAAGGCCTCCAAACTCATTTCCTAAGAGCTGTGACCTGATATTTGCCCTCTGGGGAGGCCAGAACAACATTTCAAATATAAAAGAAGTTGATTCCTTATCATCAACACCACTTGAGCCTGGTTTTTAGTTTTGACCCAATTACTTTGTCACCCTGGGCTGAGGGGTGTGGGTTATCTGCCGGGCTGTGCGGTTCCAGGGGGGGGCAGGCAGCGTCCCCCCAAGTCCCTTGGTGTCCTTCCACATTGTCTCCGTTACCACGCCAGGGGCATGGGGACTAGATGAGGAATCGGAGGCCTCCAGAAAGCCCAGAGACGAGTAAAGCACTAGGAGTGCAGCGCTTTAATGGGTGGGGTGCTGGGTCCCGACAGGGCAGTGTCCAGGCGAGAGGGCTGCTGGGCACTGCCCTGGGCCCCCAGAGGTGGCACCCACACTGTGCTGGGGGACTGAGGTTTGGCTCCATGGGAGACAGTGATGTTGAAAAGTAGAGCCACAGATAGGTGACTGAACCAAAGAGATTGAGCGTTATAGATCTGGATGCCAGTCGCCTTGAAAATCGGGCTCCTTTCAGTTTCTCCTCACTGAAAAACAAGGACAGCTCTGAAGCATCCAGACAGAAGGTCCCCAGGCCACAGTGTGGGGGTGCCCTGACCTTCTGGGGCTGTGTGTGTGTGACCACATCTGTAAGGAAACACAGCTGTGTAAAATCAGACATTTCTACCTCCAAATGGTCAGACACCTGCGCCAAGTGGTCATCTACGCGGGCCCCGGAGGACTGGCTGAGCGAGTACCCACAGAGCCAGAGACGTACTGGCGAGCAGAAAGACAAATTACTTCTTAAAGAAAATAATGTTTGTGGTTTCACTGCAAGAAAAAAAAAATCAGTATACAAACAATGTAAAAATATATATGGGAAAAAAAGCCCAGAGGGGACAGAAAGCTCCCATAATCCCACTGCCCAAAGATTACTGCTTTTAATAATTTACCATGCCCTTCCCGAGATTTCCCCTTGCTACAAATTACATTTTTAGAGTAGGAAAAATAAATAGCTAATGAATCCATTAGCAGGTACTTGTGAAACAGGCAGGCTCAGAGGACTTTGTGAACGGGCAGAGGGAGGCAGGCGGCTAATTCCCATTTGGTCAGGGGGAGAGTAGTTTATTCTGCTTGGCTCAAACCAGAACTAATGGCCTGAAGTGTTCCTCCATATTTGGGCAAAGCCACCTGGTCGTTGGCAGGGGAGCCACTTTCTGAGTGTGGGCTGTACACGCGGACAAAGCTTTCGGCCTCCCCTGCTCTGCTCATCTGTTGCTATTTGTCATTCATCAAGTGTAGCAGGTGCAGAAGCTCCTGGCAGACACAACAATCAGGGCCACTGTTAGCTGGTTTGACTCCCTCCCGCAGGACTGCTCCACACCCCTTGGTTCTCTGCAGGCGCATCCCCTTCTTGCCAGGGTCCCTACCCCGGTGAGGACCTGCAGACCTAGACAGGAGGTGCTTCCAGGTGACAGAATTGCCCCTGGCCAGGAATAATGAATGTGAGTGTCAGAGGCTGGTGACTCAGGCTGGAATATTTTGTTTATGGTTTTCTTATTGCCATAATGTAATTGCCGCATAATGAGTCACCTGTGGGTCGTCCGTCCCACCCGTGCCTCGGTCACCGGCACTGTTGGGGTGGAGCGGTTTGCTGCAGTCCCAGAGCAGCGTCTGAACTGGGCCGTGGGCCAGCGCCCCGGCTCTCCAGCCGGCCCCTCGCCCTAGGGGACGAGAGGGGTGCTGTGGCACCCTCAGGAGGCCTCAGGGATTGGGGCGATCCCTGGCCTCCGGACCAGGCTTGTGTGCAGTCATTTCAGAGAGGAGGAACGAGAGGAGGAAAGAGGGTGACTCCTTCCAAATGTGTCCTGAATGCACAAACCTTGACCAGCCCAGCCCAGTCCTCTACAACATGGCCTTTGGGGAGGGAGAAAACAGAATAGGAGGGGAAGAAGAGGGGAAAAAGAGGGAAAGAGGTGAGGAACAGAGGATCTAGGAAGAGATGGGAACAAATTAAATTTGTGAACAAAACAGAGGCACAGCTCCTCTTTGCCCTCTCCCCCAATTTAGGTTCCCATAAAGAATACTTTTCAAAGACCCGTTGTGTCTGTGGTTCCCAGACCAGTCTCAGGCAACCTTGGAGATCTACTCTCTTTTCCTGGCCCCCAGTCCTTGCTGCTCCTGGGGTAGTGGCTGTGGCGCATTGTGAGAAGACATTGAGTTCGAGCATTCAGCTGACCCAAGCCTTCCCCATGGCAGCAGGGGTCGGCAATGCAAAGTCAGCTCACAGGGTCGCTGCTCAGAGGGGAAGCCGGGGTCGGAGACCTAGAGTTTCCTCTGGAGGCAACTGCTAAGGCAGGCCCACCCCTTTAATGGAACCACAGTCAGGACTTAACCAAAGGACAAACCCAGGGAGCTCCTTACAGGCCCCCAGAGTGGCTGAGTCCCAGTGTGGCTGCACCACTCTGATATATTAGATTAGGGTATGCAGCGGTAACAAATACCGCTCCTCGTCTCAGTGGCTCAACACAATAAAAGTTTGTTTTTCATGCACCCAAAGCCCAACGCGGGGCAGGTGGCTCTCCTTGGCAGGTCTCTTCCAACGGTGACAGAGGGGTCCAGGACATTTCCTCCATCTAGAGTTTTTGCTTTCAACCACACAGACAGAAGAGAGTGTGAAGACGTCATGCTTGCTCATACAGCCTCAAACTGGAGGTGACATGTCATTGCTGCACACATTCTCGTTGGTCAGGAGTAGTCACATGGCCTCAACCGAACTGCAAGGGAGGCTGGGAAATGTGGAGGAATACATGGATATTTTGTAAGCATTAAGTGTCTTTCCCAAGCCTGGGCATTTGAACCCTTTAGGTGGTTTTATTTTACTTCCAGGAAATGGTTCTAGTGACAACCCATGCTCAGAGACCTATCGTGGGCCCTACCCTCACTCAGAGCCAGAGGTGGCTGCCATGGTGAACTTCATCACAGACCATGGGAACATCAAGGCTCTGATCTCCATCCATAGCTACTCTCAGATGCTCATGTACCCGTACGGCCACTTGCTGGAGCCTGTTCCAGACCAGGAGGAGTTGGTAAGATTGGCCGCGTAGGGCTTGGTGGAGGCATCTGGCAGACTCCTAGAGAGTTTAGGCCCTCACTCTGAACCCAGGGTCTGGACCAAGTGACCCCAAGGTAGGGAGGAAGGGGAGCTTGGTTTCATGTGTGATTAAGTCCAAAGATGGGGGTGCTGCGTTCCCATCTCACGAGAGCCATCTACACAGGTAACGTCCAGGACTCCTACCTCCCTGCATCCCAGTACTCCTAACCCCCTCCTTCTCAGCAGCTGGTGAGGGTGAGGGGTGTAGGGGTGTGGGGATCCCCAGCCTCTCACTCTCTGCATGTCGTCCTGCAGTACGATCTTGCCAAGAGCGCAGTGCAGGCCCTGTACGAGGCCCACGGGATCAAGTACACTTACGGCAGCATCAGCACCACCCTCTGTGAGTGAGCCTTCCCCCGGCTGCCTCTTCAGGCTCTGCCTCCCCCTGGGGCGGGCAGGTGCAGGCTCTTTGCTGACTGGCCGCCCTGGTTGGCCACAGGGCAGTGCCATAGGTCTAGCTGGGTGGGGCCAGAGCTGATTTGCTCACCAGGGGGCCATTGCTTTGCAGCGTTCATTAGCTCCCAGTACCAGGCTTTCTGCGGCATTCCTGGAGGGCAAAGATCCTCTGCCTACTGGCCTCAGGGAGCTTTCCTTTTGGCTGGCGTAGAGAACGGGCTGGGTGGGCAGGGTGTGGCCCAGGTTAAGGCCTGGGTTGGGAGGTTTGGTGTTGTTGGGGGTGGGTGGGGGTTTGGCCTCCAGGGCCCACTTCCCACTCAGGATATCCCTATACCTTGTGGCCACTCCCTGGTCTTCCATTCAGGGGCATTTCTTCGCCTTTTGTGTCCAGATTTGGCCAGTGGGATCACCGTTGACTGGGCCTATGACAGTGGCATCAAGTACTCCTTCAGCTTTGAGCTGCGGGACACGGGGCGCTACGGCTTCCTGCTGCCAGCCGCACAGATCATCCCCACGGCGCAGGAGACGTGGCTGGCACTCCAGACCATTATGACGCACATCCTGAATCACCCCTACGAGCAGCGCACGGCTAAGCGTGGAGCAGGAGGGTTTGTCCCCTTCCCCAAGACCCAGGGCTCCTCCTGAACCCTGAGTTATACACCCCGTCCTTCCCCAAACCCCTGTCCTGACTCCTTAGAAAATAAAAGCACATTTGAACAGGCTCAGTGGCCCCTTGCACTGGCTGCCACCCCTTTGGGCTCAGCATTGAGGAGGGGACAGAGACAGTTCCAAATGCCTCTTTGCTCTCCAGGTATTCAGGAGGGTGAGGGGCCAGCAGGCCTTACCCTTTCTCCTCTTGCAGGTTCTCAGGGCCCAGAACAGATAACTCGCACCCTGGGAGCTATTAATATACATGTACATTGACCCCATGGTGGTATTTTCCTCTTAAGATGACCCTGGAGGGGACACTGTTTGATCTAAGAGTGATCTCCAGTGTTGGCATTGCCAGCACCTTGAGGGAAGGGTGAACACAGAGAGGCAGCCTCCTTCTCCTCTTGCTCCATTTCCCATGCTGGGTAGGGGTAGAGGTGCATTTCAGAGGCCCCCACTCAGCACGTTCCACTCACCCCATAAATGAAAGTGAACAAGTCACTGGTTGTGACCTGTCCTCCTGGGTGCCCTCACAGGCTTCCCTAGTCTTGCGGGCACAGAGTTACAGCCAGGCAGAGCCAGCCCAGCAAAGCACCACAGTCGGGGAGAAGAAATCCTCTTTCTCCTCCTCTTCAGCCAGGGCATCATGGTGATCTTGCGCGAAACAGTTAGTTCAGGCCAGGCCGTGTGCCAAGGCAGCACTTTGTCTAAGGGAGAGAAAGGGGTAATGTTTTGAGATAGGAATGAGGTGTCTTCCCCTGTCCTCAGGCCTCTTGTACCTTTTGCCTCCCCGCCCCCCACGAGGGAGCAGAGTAATGGGTCTATTTGCCATGCCCTTGGGGGATGGCAGGTATCCCCAAGAGGCAAGAGGTCAGCTGGAGAGCTGAATGGATTTGTGTAAGCCTGAAGCAGAAAGCAAGACTTTTATTCACAAGGGCCAGACTTTTGTTGTTGTAAAAGGAAAGGATGGTGGGTATCTGCGAGTTGACCCCCGCAGGCCGCAGCACACAGGGTTTTACTGTAACTCACAGATGAGGAGAAAAGCAGGGTGAAATCAGAAGTCCCTCTTCTTACCCAATCTGTAAAAAGAACAGAGGTGTTGGACCAGTTAATGGAAGGAGAAGGTCAGTAGTGATTAAAACTCTAGGTAAGGCCCATTCCAATATGGCGCCTGAGCAACAGTTTAACAATGGGTGAGCAAGGCACCTGGGCTGGTGATTAGAGGCAGCCATGTGCGGGGAAACACCTCAGCGGAGCAGTTGTGGAGAGCTCTGAGCAAAGAAATAAGAAGGACCCAGGTAAGGAGACCAGGGGAGACGCCTGTGCCCAGGACCAGCGGAGCCAGGCGGGAGGTCCGAGGAAGGTAGGTAATGAATCCTTGAAGACCCCAGATCATCTCCAGCAGGACCTGCATCATGGGAGGAGAGAACCCAATTGGGGCTGCAGTTTCCCAAAAGAAACAGAGTTGTTTGGGGTTTTTTTTTTTGTTTGTTTTTCTTTAAGCTGGAACTTGTGTGAGCAATCTAGTATTCCAAAGCTAACGTTTCCTGCTAACAGCAGGAAATGTGAAGTCGTGAGCTAAGTTAATATCAACTATAGATAAATAAAGCAAGTTATACCTGTGCACACTGGAGTCTATGATTGCAGATTTTATGCCCTCTGCATAAATGTTGTTACTTCATCCTCATGGGAGGATATTATTGGTGTTAATAAGGTCATTTTTCAGATAAGGAAAGCACAATTTGGAGAGGTTTTTACAAGCCACGCAAGGCCACAAAGATGGAAAGTTGTTGAAAGACATTTTAGACATTTGTCTAAAAACAAAACCACTGTCATAAAACCACCATTTGGCCACACCTGCGGCAGAATTCATGGGGAGTTTTTTCCCGTGACTATTTTTGGGCTCCATCCCTGGGCTGAAACAGAGTCTCTGGGACGGACTCCTCAAACCTGCATCTTAACCGTCTGCCCCAGGAGTCCTGAGGTCCCTCAAAGGCTGAGGATCACTGATCCCTGCTCTCCCGCCTCCCAGAAGAAACACGTCTTGAGTCTTCCAGGGGGAGTTGGGGCTTTGGGTCTCCCACCCTCTACCACGGTCCATTAGCGCTGAAGGTGGATACAGTACCATGCGGCTAGTTATCCTGGTCCTGGACTAAAGCAGTGTGGTCTTCAGGCATTGGCATCACCTGGAAGCTTGCTGGAAATGCAAAATTCTTGGGTCACCCCAGACCTACTGAATCAGCAACTCCGGGGATGGGACCCCGGTGATGCTAGTGTTAAGCTGCAGAAGTGTTGCTCTAGAGGCGGGAGAACCTGGACCTTGGTGGGTTTCCCAGTAACCGTGGAAATAATGAACCCTTCTCTAGCAACTTACTATGTGCCAGGCGTGGTTCCAAATGCATTACAGGACTCAACACGTCACCTCCTCGCAGCTGTAAGAGGTGGGGCTACTCTTGTCCTTGTGTGCAGATGAGGAAGCTGAGAGACGAGAGTCACGAAAGGACAGCGGCTACTGAGTGGCGGGCCCGGGACCAGCCTTCAGTTCAATCCGACTCATATGCCCCAAGCCCCTGAGGACGCTGGGCCATGTTGGCAAAGATCTCTGTGCAGCCAAAAGCCCACAAAAGTTGGGGCTGAAATTGCTTTTCAGATGAATGCAACTTAAAAGGCAGCTTACTCCTTAAAAGTCCTTCAATGACTTAACATAAAACCTGCATGGCCGGCCCTGCCTACCTCTCCCGTCTTGTTTCAGTCCCTCACTCATCAGCTCCAGCGTCACCGGCTCCCCCTCAGTTCCTTCCGCTCCTTCCCAACTAGAGGCCTTTGCATGGCCTGTTCCTTCTTGCCTGGAACATTCTTTCTTCTCATTCTTCCCTCAAATAGCCCACTCCTTAAAATGTCCCTTCAATATCATATTCTCTCAGTCCTTCCAGGCCCACCCACTGGAAGCAGATCTTCTATTATTATAGAATAACTATTTTCCAAGGCCTGATTTATTTCCTTGATAGTAATGATAATGATTCATTGATATCCTTGCTTATTTGATATTGTTTGTCTCCACCACCTGCCTGAGACCTCTAGGAGGGCAGGGACCATGTCTGGGTTATTCGCCCTTACTCAGTTCTGTCAGGCACACAGTAGGCACTCAATATTTGTTGAAGGACTGTTTCTCTCCCTCAGCCTAGCACAAACTAGGACTAGGTTCAACATTATGTGACAGAAACCCACTTTGCAGTAGGTTAACCAGATCAAGGTTTGTTGTTGTTGTTGTTAGAGAACAAGAAGTCGTCTGAGGTGGGGCAGTTCCAGGCTAGTTCAGTGACTCCCTCATGCGCTGGGACCAGGCCCATCCGGCCTGCTCTGCTTTGCCCCTCTGCCATCATTTTGATCCCTAGTCTACCTCCACCATGTGATTGAATTCCAGGCAGAAGGGCAAGGGGCAAAAAATGGGAGCCCGCTGAGTTGGCCCACCCATGGCTTTAAACTCCCATCTTATTGGCCGGGACTGTCTGGGGTGGCCACGCCCAGGTGCAAGGGAGGCTGGCGGATCGTTGAGAGCTGGGTACCTTGCTGCCCCAAATAAAAATTGGAGTTCCCCTTGGTCAGGAAGAAGAGAGAATGGGTGTTGGGAAGGCAGCCAGCAGAGTCTGCTGCTGCTTCTCTGAAGGGGCCTCCAAACCAAGTTTCTTCACCCTAGTTTATCAGGTGACTGACTTAATTATAAAGCCATTGAACTCTCCGGATGAAAGGGTCCTTTAAAAGCTTCCAGCCCGGCCCCCTCATTTTGTGGTTATAAAGACTGGGGGCCACCTTACTCAAGGTCTGACACGAAGCGAATGGCTGAGAGAACTAAAACCAGGGGTCTTCCTCCTGGGACTGAGGGGCCTCCTTGGCAAGCCAAGGGAGGGAGTGGCGGGAGGTCAAGTTCACCAAATAAAAGCTCAAGATGTAGACATGCATGTTTTAGAGATATTACAGAATAATCTCTTTTTCATAAGACCTTAACTTTAACAAAATTTATTTCTTAGGTATACAATGCTAAACAGGAGTTCAGCTTTTCTACATTCAGCTTAGTTTTTATTTTTATTTTTTTTCTCCCAACAAACTGCTCTTTTTAGGTATGTTTTTTCATCCTTTTCACCAGTAAAATTTATGAGCATTTATTTAAAAGAAAAAAAAACACTGGAAAAACTGAAGAAAGAAAGAGCGATTATACATATGGAAAGCCATAAAGACCCACAGTGAATGTGCTGCGGTTATTGCTTTCTTAAAAAAACAAACCAGGCCGGCAGTTTGGAATGTGAAAGAGTCCTGTGTGAGGGCAGGGCGGGCGCAGGGGCCCAGGGGCCCAGGGCGGTGGGCTCGTGGCTGGTCCGGGAGTCCGGTGAGGGGCGCCCCCCACGCCTCTGTCTCCCCTCTGACAGCCCCAGACAGGGCCAGAGAGAAAATGATTTAACAAAAAAAAATTTTTTTCTTTTAAATTTAAGGAAGATTCTTTAAAAAAAAAAAAAAAAAGGCTTCTTTAGAAACCTAAGAAGGCCCAGGCAGCCATTTAGTACAAGCTGAGAGAGAATCCAGCGAACACAGCCTGTCAGAGCCTCACGAGCTGGTGAAGCCACACCATAGCCTGAGCTTGGGGCGGGGGGCAAATAATTGTCTTCCCGGGGGTGTCCTGAAGGACAACTCCAGCCTGTTGGGCCTTCGGAGGGTGTCCTTCCCCGAGTACTTGGGACAGTCCTCGGGAATGGGGATGTGTTTGCAGACCCATTCTTTGAGCTTGTCCCTTCTGGGCCTCTCGCCCCCGGGTCTGGAATTGGCCTCTTGCTCTTCCCTAACCAGTTTCGCAAAGCCCTGTGGCTCTCCATCCACCGCTCCCCCCCTGCCCCCGCCCCTCGGCTCACCTCCCTGGATCCCCCAAAGCATAGCTGAGACCACAGGGTAACATTTCAGGAAATTTTACTTGGGAATACAGAAGGGAAAGGCAATGTAGAAAA